TATTCTGATGTTTAATAAATAATTTAGTCAGAAATCAAAGTTTAATTACTGCCTTAAGTCTCAATAATCTTGGTCATTACTTTATGATTTCTCATCTTGTTTGCTATTTTTTCACTATAACTGTTGAGCACATTTTAATTTCAGATTATTGACAAAAAAATCATGATCAAGTGAATTTGTCAAGAAAAATTTTTTTGCTTTACAGTAGAATGGCTTAACTTTTGTATTTTAGGCGACTAAACGTAAGCAAATAATTAGGGAATTATTGTCGTAGCGATTAAAAACTTTTGACCTTCTGCGCTTTTGATTATCAAAAAAGTTTGTCAGCTAAACACAAAAAATAATAAATACAAAAATTATAATTTTTTAATTCTTTTTTGTTTTTTTATTTTATTTTTTCTTCTATGATTGTAAAATTTGTTTTTCAAGCATATTTTATTTGTAAATTATAACAAAGTTTGGTGAAATCCTTTTTTGAAGAAAAAGATTAGGTTAAATAGCTTCATTGAACACATTGTTCAGTTCACAGTAATATGCTTCAATTCTTTGTCTAGCTAAATAAAAAATTAATTTAGACATTAAGAGAATGACTGTAGTGATGCCGAAATTTTGCTTACTTAGAACTACGATTACCTAAAAACATCTTCTGTCGAATAGACAACGTAAGAAATATCAAAACTACATAGATTACACTAAACGTACAAAGACTTTCCGGTTAGGTTCTCAAACGTCTTCGTATGTTTCTCAGCTAACCAGGTTTTTGCTGTCTCGGTCATTTAGTTTTCTCGAAACAGCAATTTATATCTGTTGTACCTGTATTATAAAACCTTCTGTTCACTAATAACAGCACGTTTTGAAGTATAACTTGTCCTCATTGTGTTTATATGTATGTGGTTTTAAAATTGGCTCTGTAGTTTGCCAAAGTCACCTATTTTGTATCTGAGTATGTGGCAATTATAGTTTATAAATAAAAATTTTTGTTTACTTACGCATAAAACAGTGGACAAAACATCTATAAGAGATCATTATCACAGCAAACTTTTGTGAACATGAAGTACTCTGAAATTGCAGTACTGGTAGTAAGTTGCTCTACGCACATATATCAGCTAAAAAAATGCACTGAAGTATCATAATTACAGTAGCAAGTAACATTTTTTATGAAGACAACAGAATTCTATATGACAAATCCTACACAAACTACACTAATAAGGTATTAATGTATTTTTTAAGGTTATATTCTACAAAAAATTATTTTTTTAACCTTATCGGTGTAGTTTGTGTAGGATTTATCATATGAAATTCTGTCGTCTTCAAAAAAAAAATGTTATTTGCTACTGTAACTACTGTAATGCATGTTTTAAGGTATACAGTCTACAAAAATAATTTTTTGTAGTTGATTTTTGTGTCAATTGATGTTCAAAAAAAGAAAAAAAAAAAACAAAAAAAAACTATTTTTAGTTTTATTGTGCTGTTTTTATTTTTATCACTTTAAACTTAACTAAATATTGATCATAAAATATCGTTCTAAACAACATCGGTAGCTTTCAAAAGAACAATGATAACACCATTACTGCTATGTGCTTACTCCTATTTTTTACGTCTATCATCAAAGACTTCATAAAGTTTTGCGATCCTGCATCATTAAAGTAGGCTACAAAAGCTAAAAAATACGAAAACAGTTATCTGGTTTAGCAAGCCTCAGATTTTCAAACAAATCCTTTTTTGGTTACCGGCAATCACTTTGCCACGGTAGAAGCAGACAATAAACTAACTGAAAGTTTCGCAGAAAATTAGTTTGTCATTAGGTTTACTACCCTTTTATTGTACAGTAACTGTTTAAAAAAATAAGTACATTTTGCTGGATGTTGTTATATGGCATAGCATTTTAATGTATGCAAGTTTAAAAACTCAAATTTATGTTGCTCATATTTAAGTTTAATTTCTAAAGAGAAAGATACAAAGAAATATTTAAATTTTCAGGGGAATATAGCTTTAGTAAACTAAAAATTGCGCAGATGATAAACAGTATAATGTAACGTTCTTTTGCTTTTTTAAGTTTTATAAGTTTCTTTTTTTTTTCATTTTTTACTTAACAAAGACTGTTTAAGCTGTTTGATAATAAAAAAAAGCTTTTGAAAAAGTGCATTACTGATAAGGATTTACTTATATACATGAAGCAAATGAGCAAATTTTTACTTTTCTTTTTGGCTAATAACCTGCCATGAATTGTGGGTTGATTCTTCTAGCAATACTGCTTGCTGTCACAGCAAGTCCAGTACCACAAAAACGGGTACTTCCATCTAAATATGCGGTATGTTTTTCTTTAAAATTTAATTTGATCACCATCTTCTCTATTAAAATTCCTGCGCATGTTCTGCGATTCATAAAAGCGATCTTTACAATTTTTTTTGAAATCTCTACTGTAATAAAAATAGTAAAATAGCAATAAAAAAAGAAGAGGAAAGCATAATTATTGTAACACTTGAAATACAAACTCTGCTCAGTTATCATGTAGATGGCAAGTAAATTTTGGAAAATGGCGCACCGACCACAGAGTAAAGGGGTTATGTGCGTCGCGTGTAAGGTTATTGTCGACGGCCTTCAAATAATGCTGAAACAAAATAAAACTGACGAGGAGTTGGAGAACTTTGTCATGTATGCCGTTTAAATCCAAAATTTTCATAATCCATACTACTAAAAAATATTTTTTATTATACTAGTTATTCTAAATTGACTCTTATTAAATGTTTTATGAAGTCTTCATGCAGATATTTTAAACTATTAAAAATTCTCATATGCATATATATAATTACATTTATACATTTATCCATCTATTTGATACTTTAGTAAAACCTGCGAGACGTTAGGCATCGAAGCAGATTACGTTTGTGAGCACTTTATTCACGAATTTGGAGTAAGTAGCTCCACAATTAACAATCTACTTGACGAATGTTACCAAGATTTTTTTTTTTTAAAGAAAAACAAGGAAAAAGAAAGAAAGTCTAAACCGTTCGAGTGGTTGTAAAAATAAATTGAATAAAAGTTCCAGCAATTAAAATTTTTTTGAAAGACTGTTTTTTTGAATGATATGCGAAGAAAAAATTTGGTTTTGTTTAGGACGAAGCATTCTTTGTTCTGGAAAGAGTGATTGTTACACCACATGAGATTTGTGGTGCTATTATCGATGACTGCGGAGTTGCAGTGAATCCTTTGAATGTTTTGTGGAATATTACTATTCCGGGCAATAAACCAGCTGTAAAAGCATGGCCATCTCCAGCTGTAATCCTGTGTTTTTCAATTTGAAGTAGAAAACAAAGACAATATCTTGTAGCTGTAGTAATTTAACTTAATTCAGTAGACTAACTGTCGTTAAATATAGCTATAAAAATACAATATGCCACAAACTTTAGTTGTTAAACATAAACAAGAAAAGCCACACTTAAAGAATTACCACTATTTTTTTTTAGGAAGGTAAACCAAAAATGAAAATCTTACATCTATCAGATATTCATGTCGATCGACATTACGTTGTTGGCAGTGAAGCCGACTGCGAAAAAGACCATCCATTTTATGAATTCTGCTGTTTAGAGTATCCTAATGACAAACCAAGTTAGTTTTGACAAAACTTTTTAAGCGATATTTTGCTTGTTGTGAACAAAAAGGTTTTTAGTTCATTTTTCCTCTATGCAGTTATTTTTGATATGAACCTAAAAAAGCTTTTAAGCTTGCTAGCATTAGTTGTGAGTCATCAAATTTTGCGTGGTTAAGAGTCCTCTTCAAAAAATAGTTGTTAATGATATAGTATGTACCAGTTCTTGAACCAAAACAAGAAAATAATTGCGATCAAGAAATTTGGGTAGGCTAAAAATGGGCTTTTGTGCTGATAAGGTGTCGGAGTAACCCAAAAATGTCGAGTTTCGGTGTTTGCCATGACACAATGCTTTAACAATATTTGCATAAAGCATTAACATTGTTTTATCATTTTTAATCTAATTTTTTGTAGTTTATTTAGAAAAAATGGTTTTTTCTGTGTGTCAGATGTTAACTGGATACATCTGTCGTTATTAGCTGTTGATAACATTAGAAATAAGTTTTTTTTCTTTAATCAAAAATTATTAGGTTATTTTGGAAAATTAAACAGTTATTTTAATTTTTTTTGTGATAAGGTGAGTTTATACAAATATGAGTTTTTTAAGTGAGTCTTCCCACTATGCAGTCAACATTTTGTTTAAGTAACTTGAGTGAGGGAGCTGCAGAAAAAATTTTTATATTGTGCAATTCAGCCGAAACTTAAAGGACGGAACTTTATTTACAATACCTTTTTTGGAAATTAACGTTTGAAGAAAATAAATCCCATTTTTTCAATTACAGCACTGTAAGAAATTTTTAAAAATTTAGCAAAAATCAATGTTCCGGCCGGCAAATGGGGAATGCCTTACAAGTGTGATATACCATACATTACTTTTGAGGCTTTGATAAAGCAGATTGCTGAAAAAGAGAAGGTGATTAAGTTTTTTACTCATTCGGAACAGAAGATCAATTTTCTAGAAATTTTCTAGCTTATTGCTTTACCTGTTAATATCAAAAATCTTAATTCCTGTAACCCGCTTTTTTCTTTCTTCAGGTGGATTACATTTACATCACTGGTGATATGGAAGCTCACAACATTTGGGATTACTCTAAAGAAGACACAATTGTAAAAAAATACTCCTTTATATGATTCAACCATTCACTTTTGTTAAATGGTTATGCAATTTTTTTATATTTATTGCTCTCTTACAGGCAAATTTGAACAATATTTCGTCAGTTATTCGCCATTACTTCTCAGGCACACCGATTCTCGAATCTGTCGGTAACCATGAAGGCGTTCCCATGGATGCGTCAGTTTTAACTGCTCGTTTTTAGACAATTATTCTATGTTTTAACACTGGTCTAAACCCTAAAATCAGTTGCAGAACAATGTGTAGTCAAATTTCAAAAATTTCTTAACTTTGCTCAATTTATGAACTTGAAGTGGATAAACTGAAAGCAGTGAAATAGCTGAAAATATAACGGTCAATAATCTAATACCGATAATAAGGTAGAATGACAGTTTGAGAACATGACTGCCAATTTTTAAAAAAAAATGACTTTAAAACAGTAGAAAAAACTTCAAATATAAAACTGCAACCTTAAAGCTTTTCGCTAAACGATAAAAAAATTTTTTTTTTCCGCTACATAGTTAGCTGAAATCAGAAAAAAAGAGTTTCTGAAAACATTATCTTATTTTCAGATCTTTATTTTTTGAAGATTTCAGAATGGCTTATCACGGAATGGAAGAATACGATAAGAGAAATCCGCAGTGGTTATACGACACTCTAGCTAATAACTGGAAACCGGCGCTAACAGAAACTGCTCTCGAGACAGTGAAATAGTTAATATTTTGTGGCTTTGAAACAGTTTTATTTTCCTAAACTGCAAAATTGGTTTTTAAAGTTTTATCTTACTGTTTTTCAAAGACTAAGTAATAAGCTTTGAATTAACAAAATAACTCTTTTGAATATGAACAGTATTGCAATAATCTAAATCATAATTTCAGCCGTGCCAGCTTTTCAGTCAAACTGAAGGACAAACTGAAGTTAATTTCCATTAACACTGTTTACTGCTCAGTCATGAATTTGTAAGCTATTTCAAAAATAAGGCACATTCCGCAGTCTTTTATAAGGAGTAACTAACAGTTGTCATTACTCTGAAGTGGATAATCGTTTAGGTACAACTATATTAACCAGGTAGATCCAGATGGTACATTAAATTGGCTTATCAAGGAATTGATGGCATCAGAACAGCTGAAAGAAAAAGTACATATCATCAGCCATATTCCACCAGGGGACAACTACTGTCTTAAAGGATGGTCGCATAACTTTTACAGAATAGTTAACAGGTAAGTGAAACGATTTTTTGCACTGCTACACTAGAAACATTCCTGGACATTGTAGTTGCACATTCATGATTTAGGTTTGAGGGAACCATAGCAGCAATGTTCTTTGGTCATACGCATAATGATCACTTCCAGGTAATCAAAAAATTTTTTGCCTTTTTTTTTTGTTCAGTCTTCTGATGCTGATTCCATTCTTCTTAACAACACAGTATCTACAGTTCGATCATAAGCATCATATACAGGCTTTAAAGAAAAAGAACATCTAACCAAAACTATTATATTGTACTGTAATGGTTGTTATTGTACTTCCAGGTGTATTATGATAAGATGGACGTCAAAGGCAGGCCAACCCATGTCAATTATATCGCTCCATCGTTAACAACTTACTCCTACAACAATCCAGCTTATCGTATCTATACCGTCGACGGCGACTATACTGGCAGCAGCTATGTAATATCTTGGCCCTCATTTCAAAACTGTGTTTAAATGACAACAATTATCACAGTGCTTTACAAATTTCTAACACAAACATTCTGCGCTGGAAAGTCTTTGTTTGACAAGTTTCAAAGAGCAAGGACCTGACTGTACCAAATAGTACTAGTTGCAGTCTTCGTTTTGCAGACAGTTTTGGATACTGATACTTACTATGCAGACATCTTAAAGGCTAACAAAGAAAACAAACCACCACAGTTTGTGCACAGTTACAGCGCTAAGGTAAGATGATTCAGCTACGACCTTTTATCTCTATTTGTTAAAAGATTTTTGTAAATTAGTGTATTAAGAGCTGTAGTTATGTGGTTAATTTTGCTAATAAATTAACCGAATTTTATAGAGTAAAATAGAAGTGAGCTTGAGACGGTTAGCTATTGAACAGAACACTAGCTGCAAATATTTATTTAATTTTTTCTAAAATTGCTAATAATATCACTTTTGTAATCTAATTTATTAACATATCAAATTACTGTACGTTCAGAAAGATTATTCTATGGCCGACTTGTCACCATCTTCGTGGAACAATTTATTGAAGAGAATGGAAACTGATAATGATTTATTCCAAAAATATCTCTGGTAACTGACGAAAATAATTTGTCAACCTTCATTTCCTGAGTCTTTTAAAAGTAATGCAGAAAGGAAAGAATGTTAAGCATCCAACTAAATAATTTTGCGAATTGCGACAACAATTTTGAAAATTTTAGCAGAAACCTAGAAACTCTTTTTTATTTGAAGGTTTAAACTTGTCAGGTTTTATTCTTAATTACGCTAATATTTTTTTGATTTAAAGAAAATTTGATTTCTGAACTTAGAATGAAGTTTTATTCGTTTGAGTTCGTTTGAATACTTAATCTGTAACACTTGTTCCAGGAACTACGCAAGAAATGATCATGGAATGAACGATTGTGCAGAAGCATGCAAGGCGTCACACATCTGTGATGCAAGAAGCGCTATGAGTCATGAAACTGATTTGTTCTGTCCTTAAGACACCAAACCCGGCTTTGCTAACTATGAGCTCTGATTACCTCTACAATCTGTAGCTGTGCTAGTATTAAAAAGCCAAAAAATAAAAGCATTGAAGCACAGTTTAAAAGAATTATTATACTCTCGCAGTAAAGGAAAAATAAAGAGCAGAATGAGGTGCAATGATAAAAGGTTGTACCGCAGCTGTTCTGGATTTTCGTCATGGCTGAAGATTGGCGCTAACGAAGGTCAATGCACCAACCACTAATTATTTTGTTCCATCTTCATAGCCCTATTTTTTTTCACAAAAAAGTTGTGTGCTGAAGCGGCAGAGAGAGTATATCATTCACTATTGACAACTTAAAAATTAGGGACTTATTTTCTTCTGAAATGCGTTAGGTTTGCTTAAAAATGATCAAGACACACATTTGAGATGTTAATATTGGTAAAAAACCAGAAAGAAAACTTTTTCACCTTTCATGAGCGAAAAAAGTGACAAAAAATAGGCAAAAACCAAACAGTTATTCTTCGTTAAAGAATCACATACGAAACGGCAAATTTCTGAAGTGAACACTTACAGTTGAGTGGTCAAAGAAAGGTTGGGTTGTAAGCGAAAAATTCCTGCGTATACGAAAGTAGCATGTCTTGACGAACGTGGAAACGTTCCTGTCGTCCTGCTTCCATTTTTCTCGAGCACATTCCATCGTACCAGTGTAAAACTCCTACTGAAACCAAAAAAATTTCTAAAAATAACTGATTCTTAAGCAGATGTAGGCTTCAGGCACTTTTCGTATGCTGTTCTAGAAGGTTTGTAAGTCTGAAATTACTTAGGTAATAAATACCATTCTGCTACAGGCATTTGCAGTTCTACACCGTGGTCTAGGATGATGCTGAAAACAGTTATTTAAGGCACCAAATAAGTTCTGTTTACGTACGTTTTCGCCTTTCGTATACTTGAGCAAATTTCTCGTTGCCTTATCGATGTTGACAATTTTTTCTGCATCAAAGAGTCGAAACGGATGAGAATTTAGATACTTACTGAGAAAACTTTACCTACCCAAATGTGTTATTAGGGAAAAATTTAATCCTTTCCTATTTATTTTAGAAGTAGTTTGGATTTAAGTTATCATAAAGTTTTACAATTTTAAACAGTTCAAAATTGTTCTATATCTTATATACATTTTTTCTGGGCTCAAGCCAGCACGATCCAGTAAAGTTCTTGCACGGTACTTGTCTTTTACGCAGTAATGAACCTCAGGCAAGGCAATCACGAAAAAAACTAGTTTTTAATGATAAAACTACTGAAACTGGGCAAAACTGGGAGCAGAAAAAGAAAACTTATACTTCAAATTATGGTAGATTTTCGTGTCTTATGACTGCAGAATTTTATCGTTTATTAATTATATTATGACCTACTATTCGTTACCTTCTGGTTTTTTAAATCTGTATCTCAATTGCAGATTTTACCTGACTGTCTTTTCGTCTACTCAAATAATAATTACTATTGCTAACTATTTGTCTATCCGTCCTTTTCTAAATTGCGCGGCAGCGCACGAAATGACTTAAAGGAACTGGAGAACAGTTAGTCACTTGTCTTCAAAAAGAAGCTCTTAGAATGTACGCTAGCTAGTCACTTTTAATGATACGGATTTATAGACGGTGCGGATAGATTATATATATAAATACTGTCCAATTTGGTTTTTATAAATCAGAGGAGGAAAGAATTTTTGCATTATCAGAAACGTTGGAGATACTCTGAAAAGGCTGTCTGCTAAAGTAAGCTGTCAAAAACTTTCTATAACAAGTCTACATCTTTACAGCCAGGTTCAGCAAAACCTGCATCAGATTAATTTCTGCTTTCCTTGTCAGCAGACGACAAGAGGGAGCAAACTTTATTATTGCTAAGGCTTGCAGAGGTTTTCCAGATTCGTAAAACTTAAGAAAATCGTGTTCTTTTTCCATCGGTACCGGACAAAATATTGGCTGGACAACACTTTTTTCAGACAAAAAATTCAAATTGGTTATGTCGTCATACCGCTCACTGCTTACAAGCAATTACAAGTTCTTGCTTATAGAGTGTAACAAAAATAGAATAAAAGCCTTATACGTTTTGTCGGTTGTAGTATGCAGACCTCAAACTTAAGCAACTAAGTCTTTATTACAGAGAAAAAAAACAACTTCTTAATACATGAATGCTAGTTTGTCACACATAGTAAAAAGTGTAAAAAAAGTAACGATAGGTGATGTTGAAATAAGTTTTTAAAAAATTAACCTATTTAAATTAAAAAAAAAGGATCAGTTGGCCAGTTATCACAAAGAAGATATCGCTATACAATGACTTCTTGCTTACTGTCGATTCGTTTCAGCTGATTGGCTTTTATTAACATGTAAATTTTAGCTGTTCATGACAGCTTCTCTGGCGCTAGCAATTGGTCAATTCCAATTACGCACACTACATTTAGCTTTCGTGCTAGTCAATATACAAAGTCTGTACGAGTCTGAAGACGTATATTTTAATACCAGTTTTGTACATCGAATTGTGAATAAGCAGAACTGCATTTCCAGCAATCGAGTTTTATTACCTCAAACAATTACGTTTGCTCTTCGAAGCATCTTTAGCCGAAGAGAAAGTGGTTTGGAAAAGACGCATTGAAAATTTAGAGGTTATTTACCAAACTTCAAACTGCTTCTAGAACACGAAGAAAATTGTCAAAAATGAAACGAAACAACAAGATGTCCTAGAAACAAAAAAGAAGTAGAAGTTTTTAGAAGTAGAAGTTTCTAAAGTTTTACCAAACAGAAAATTTTCAAATATAAACTTAATGCGAACACATATTAAGAAATCTTACATTTCTCTTGGACATCCAAAGCTTTTCTTGGGTTACCGGATGTTAGCAAAGCTTTCTGCACCTACCACCAGAAGGCCTGTTGCTTGGTGTCGTCCGCTCTCCACACCCGGCCTGTTAAGGTGAAGCTCAATCATTTTTCGCAGCGTTTCCCTTAGTAGCGCTTTATAAACTTCCATTTAATTGCATATGATAAAAGCTTGCAGTACTTTTACAGCATTCTTTTAAAAGGGACATCATCGCCGTCTAATTGGACCTCGGTACCATTTTCTCTCAATGCTGTCTGTCCATCTTTGTAAACGGTATGTCGCAATTACCGACAGCGTCTTTAATTGGGTATTTGCCCACAACTCCTCTACAGCGTCCCTACAAAGATTCTTTTTTCTACAGCTATAAACCGCAAGCAATCGTAGTTGCCAATGCTTTCAACAATATATTTAGGACTGTAAACTCTTAGGTGAATGCCGGATGGTAACGTTGCTGAACATTTCGACTTGTTTAACAATGCTTTATTTACTTGAACTCCAAATATTACAGTTGAGTAAAAATTGAAGACACGACGACACAGATGAATAGGTAAAGGCCACTGAGCACAAACTCACTAACCTAGACTTTACCAACGTATCGGATTTTAACTTTTGGATCGAAGAGAAACACTGGTCAATACAATCATCAGTGTTTCTAAAGCAATTTATGGTAGAGAATTATTGTAATCAATATACAAAGCAACGATTAAAGAAAACCCAAAGAAAACTAAGAAGACTTCAAACAAAACTATTTGAAACTAAGCTGGAAAAAAACTCAAAACAGACTAAAAAATCTGCGCAACGAGCACGAGAAGTAAAAATGGCCGACCACCAACTTTGAATGCCAAGCTTGACAGGACTCCTTGCTCTTTTTCATCTTGCTCTTTTATGCTTTCCAAGTTGACATCAATCTTCTAGCATAGGCTCCGAAAGCGTCCCTTCAAGTCATGTTTAGTTTGTTACTGTCTTCGGTCCTCAAGACCAACTCACGTGTCGTCACGACACGCTATTTTTATTGCTTCTAGAAGTTGCCTAAAAAATATGAGAACATTAAACATGTTTGGGTTTCTAACTACATATGACCACGCAAGTATAATTTGTTTCTTAAACCCTAGTTTGACCAGAGACCACCACAACCGTCGCGAGCGCTGAGGAGATACAAGCAACTCACCGCTTTACCACCTTCCCTAAATCTTATCTTCTTAGTCTGCAATAGGTCCATATCTTGTTGTCGATGGTCCTTGCTATCGCAATGGCCTCACTGAATTACGGAAGCTTACCGGACGCCAGTAAAAATAGGTAATATAGCTAAGACATAGCAAGCGAAAAATAAGCTTACGGTATCTGTCGTTAAGTTAGTCCTGTTTTCAATAGAAAAACCGCGCGCTCTTTGAATTATTGCGTTTTCGATTGTTGTCGCAATTCCAGGTACTTATTCGGATTATAGTCGTTCACAAATGGTGGTACATCTGTAAAACTTTCCATTAGATCGTTATTTCTTGACTGCCATCGTGGTACAAAATGAGCTTAGACCCATCTGCTGGTATTTATGTCCAATCCGATTTCTTCTGATATTTTCTTTACTAACGTCAGCTTTCGTTCTGGTTCTTCTTCTTTTCGTGCAGATGAATTTATAACGTCTCTATAAAACTGATGTTCAAGTTAAATTGAAAAACCCTCATCAGAACCTATCGCCGCCCTTCAGATTGATTCTAGATTGTTAAGTAAATTTAAATTGAAACAACAGATAAGTCAAAAAGAGTGAGTAAAATAGCATCACTTTCAAAGACGCCGATTTTCACTTAAATTTACTTTGTTTTGTACAATGTCTATTTTTTGTCAAGGTTCTTCTTCTTCTGCTCAAATCTCTTCATCCACTTCTGCAAAAATCGGCTAATAATGTTACATCTCAACCATCACCTCAGATGACAGATCTCCGTCCTTAAATGTCACATAGGTACACAGCCATTTACCACCCGAGACTCTCTCAATGGCATGACTTCTTAGAGCCTTTCACCACGAGCTTGCTAAACTTTAATTCATAATGCGGGGTTTTAGTCAGGGTGAGATGTTATAATGACAACCGGATGTTATTAGCGAGATCACATGCATAAATGCTGCCGGATTACGCCAGATGGTTTGCAATTATCGGAGTTGCCCTCCACAGCTGACCAAATCATGTGGTGTATAAGCTTCTTTAATTTTCCTATACAAATTTCAAGACCTTTCCTCTGCAACGTCTTTGAAATATTCACCAGCTGCGCCAACTACTACCAAGACGAATTTAACTTCATAATGAGTTTGCTTTTTCAGTTTTTCTGCTAGATTCAGTCCCGGTGCATTTGGCAGACTTATTTTATCAAACTGACTTACAGAATTGACCGTGTACCGGTTAATCATCAGCTCTCTTTGGCGCATCATATTCTGGAACATTGGTATATTAAATTTGATAATGGTGACTCGCTTTTTATCATGCTCATACACTGCTATATCTAGCCTCTTATGATCTATCATAGCCTCAGTTTGCGCCAAAGTGTCCCACAAAATGGTGGTGATTTTACTTTCTACTTGAGCAGAAATTTTGTTGGTTTAATGGATGATGGGGAACCTATATTTCTAGTAGACATTTCTGCCTACATTGTTATGCTGACCTAATATGACGTCTTAGATCAGTGTGAGCACTGGCTAAGAATATGCTCTGCCCTTCCCACCGCCTGTTACACCGCCTGCATAATTTATCATCATCGCCCACTTCATTTCGCTAATGTGCTGCTCTCAAATTGAGGCTTCCCCCTTCAACTGCTATAGTGTTTCGCATAACATACGCACCAAGCATTCCCTTTCTTAGGCGGTAGAATAATGTTATCAGATGCAGCTCAGGCCGTTTTAATATTCCACTTGGGAGTGACTTACCTTTCCAGTTTTTAGCTAGCTCTTCTTGCTACTTATCTTCTATAAGCCGCCTTAGTCTTCTTTTCATAGAAGTTACATCTGTGTACCTCTCTTCTCCATAGGCTGCAGTTCTTATTAGACTTACTTCCCTCTAAATTCACCTCGATGTAAAACTTTGCCAGAATTTTGTCACCATTACCAATTATATTTCTCTTACCTCGTTTATTGGTGGCGATTACATACTGACACACAGGGCTCAAATCACTGCGGAGGAGGATGTAGCAATAAGTGTCCACATAAAAACTTTGCACTTCAAATTCAAGAGATGTCCATCCGTGGCCTCTTTTTCCTCCGCTCAAGTCTTGATATTTCAGAGCTAAGAAACTTGGCATTTCCCCCTTTGAGCACCTCTCTTACCTTTTTATCTCACTGCCTGGCTTCACAGACCACTTGCTGAAGTCTAGACCAGGCCTTTTTGAACTGAAAAGATATATTTTAATTTCGACATCGCTGATGTGCGGCTTCCCGTGGCTTTCTGATGTCATGTCACATTACTTTTCAGCAGTATCTTAATACGCTCCATAAACTTTCTCCTGATATCATCAAATCTGCCCTTTTCCTGCAGCAGTCTTCGTCAAATTCCAAAGTGTTTATACAATTTATTTTCTCTTCATTAGTCTCCTGTCAAAGATATTGTCTCAATTTCGTTGAAGCACTCACATACAGTTGTAGAAATTGTTCTGGAACGAAAGTGAAAAGCCCCAAAAAAGTTCAACCTTATCGAGTCTATGATATATGGAAAATAAATAGGGATTATCGTCACTTCCCTGTTCTTTCGTACTGTGACTTATCTGTGGAGGTGGGGTTGCTAGCTAATGTTGTTTTTCTTCTCCAGGGGAAGTCTCACACGTTTTTACAGTTTTCCAACGTTTATGAATTGCACTTAGTGACTTCAGTGAACCAAATAAATTACAAAATCTACGGACAATACTTAAAGCTGACTATGGGATCTTTTTGCAAACCACAGACTAATAGACACGAAGTACTGTTCTCAGCTGGTGTTCAGGTGTCTCTAATTAACGGAATCTTTATCTGCAAGCTTTCGCTTAAATGCCTTAAACTTACTTCTCCCGCTGCTTTGGACGACCTCTGTAAACCTGGCTTTTTACCCTGGTGTCGCAAGATTGGGATCCTGAGAGTTTCTATCAGCCAAGCGCTGTTCGACTGCCTGAAGTTTAGCGCTCCAGGTGCACCACAGTTTTCAAATCCTTCTTCCATATAAATCAACCACTGTTGCCGTACAGGATAAGGAGACCAAAACACCTCTGGCTAAGTAGCGTCCATCGTAAATATTTTGACAACAAGCAAATGTACGCATCTTTCACAGAGAAGGCTTACTGATTTCTTCTTCTAACTACATGATTGATTTGTCACTGCCTATGTTTCGTATGGCGATCTTCGCGGTGAGGCTTCATCGTTTTGGAGAACCACTTCTGGAAATAAAATTGATCAATAATTCGACGTGTGTCATTTTGATTTTTAACTCCGAGTCATGTCGGTACTACCACCTATTTCTAAGACCAACACTAGGATAGTGGACTCCACGCCCTGCTCATTATTTAACGGCACACCCAAGCGAAACCCGGACCTTAAACGTGTCCGGCCGCTCCCATCACACTTCCCGGCCCCCAGTCATTACTCCATGGAGTGATCTGTAGACTTTGCTTGGATAATACTGCGCTCGTTCAGTCCGTTGTACTACTCACCCAATTCATCGGATCGCTCGATGTCGTCGGTCTCATACATTGATTCACTCACTGGGCAATGTTGTTTGAGCCATTTCCATTATGCGAGTTTTCCACGTTTTTTTGTTGGTTTGAAGTATACCACGTCGTCATAATCGTCATTCTTCTAGTTTCTTAGTGCTCTTGGTCACTTCATACGGTTTTGCTTCTGTACCGCAAGGTGGGTTGCTATTATTTGAGAGGTTCCTTCTGCTGCGCTTCTACTTATTCCGGAACTGAGCTTTTCCCTTTCCTTTCTTTCAGTCGCAATTTTGACTTAATTTTGACTTGTTAAACGTTCTCTTTGATAGGTCGCCGCTTGGTCCAAAATTTACCGGTAGGAGATCGACGCCGCATTGGTACTGCTTCTGAACTTCAGTCACTAAATTTGGCCCTGGATTCTTGAAGTTTATTAGGTATCGGTTGATCTTTATTGATTGCTGGGTCTTCATCCTCGTCACACCTGCGACGGATATTTCTACAGTTGTAACCCTTTGTAGCAGAACTTGTAATCTCTACAGTATTTAATTCGAGTTAATTTAAAGCTTTACTAAACCTTTCTTATAATGGTTAATTTCTCCTTTGTCGAAACAACGCAATTTAGATTTTAACCTGAAGTTTCCTATGTAAATTTCATATGCTCCCGGTTTTGTTACGTACTTATAATTCTTATAAGTTGAATGTAAAGTGGGCAAATTAGGTAATAAATTTATTAAAATTTTTAACGAAGACAAGAAAAGTCATATTTTACAGAGGTGGTTTAAGTCAAACCCTGTCAGTGTTAAACGAAATTATAATTTCAGTCAGAGCAAAATTTTGTAGCAATGTAGAGACTTTGCATGGGCAAAAAGCGAATTATCATTTGAGTGTAAATGGTAAATTTATAACAATTTTGTAAATGCGCCAACCTGCGGAGTGAACTTTAAATTTGACCGTATACAGCAATATTTTCAAGAATTCTTCCAGAATTAAATGACGTTAACGGCCTTTTACTGGTTATAATGGCAATAACTGACTGTATTTTACAATTGTAATTTGGTGAATAGATAATAAAGTACAAAATTAATAATGTAAAATATTGACTCTTGCTTAACCAATTAAACGTTACTGAGAGTAATTTGAAATTTGGCACATTACATGGTTTAAAATTTTTGCTCAAATACAGTATTGGAAATTTGCAGTAAAATTTAAAAAATTTATGCTTTTTTCACATTAACTTAATTTTAACAAAAAAAGATGGCTGTCAGATTTGTATAGGTTCCGGAAATTCAATGACACTCCAGAGACCAAAAAAAGAAGAAATATTGAAGGAAAACATAGTGATATTATAAAGGTGACTAGAGTTTGGAGAAAGTTTTAACAATTAAGATATTCTACAAATTCATGTAAAGAAACAATTTCAGTTCTTTGAAACAATTTAAAGAATAGATTTCTTTACAGGGGAAAATTTTTTGATATAGTTTGGCTACCCGAAATGATTACCCCTTTCTTAGCTCTCGTTAAAGCTACCGTAAGCCCGTTTCTATCAAAAAAGAACTTCGCGGTCTCCTTTGTTAGATGAGTTTTTGATCGAGTAGTGAGTAAAAGAACCACATCCGTTTCCTTGCCCATGTACAAATCAACTGTGTAACAAGGCAGGTTGAATTTTCGAGCCTCCAAGTCTCGAAACGTCGAAGTATAATAACACTACATAGTCAGTCTCTCGTCTAAATGAGACTGAACCTTTTCCGCTGTCAGTATAGCTGCCTCGTTTTGCTGTTCGTTTATCCAGCTTTTAAGAGACGTTTTACATTCTTCTCCTCAGGCGTCAAGGAACAGTATTGGGGTATCTTCAGATGTTTAGGAAATCTTATAGCCTTCCACATGGTTCGGTCATTTTCAGCCAAGGCTAGCTCCAACTCAGAGTCATACAATTTCTTTGAGATGATATTAATTAAAACAGGATGGGAACGATGAGAGGTTTTTAGACTGATAGATATGATTGCTTTGCGGCTCAACAAGTTCTTTAGGCAGCTGTTATGTCCTAGTTGTTTGACGCATTCAGGTAAGGCGCCAGAATAAGGTGGTAGTTATTTGACATATCCAGTTAAAAATATTCGTTCCAGTTCAGAATACAGCATTATGAGACTTAACAAGTTTAAGTGCGACACAAGAGTAGCTTCATCGATTATTAATTTCGTGAGTCTGTAATCTTTCTGAGTCAGTTGTTCAGCGAACTTAGTAACCATTACGATAGTGCCAAAAAAGATCTTCAATTGATATTTACAAAGCACCTTCTCAATGCAAAATGCTATCTGGAGGATTCACCGTTGTGTCCTAATCTCTTTTCTAGGTATTCCTCTATGGCGTTCTTTTCTAGTTTCTCTATTGTATCTTTTAAAGCTTCGAATAGGTCTTTTAATAGTTCTGGTGTTTGGCAGTTGCACCAGACTTGGTCTGTTACTCTTACTGGTTGCAATTGGGCTGTAACAGACTGTAGGAAGATTACTGTCTTTTCTGGTAATTCGCCAACCAACTTGAAGAATGAATGAGCCGCATTTTGAACAGCATAGTTGTTCGTCGCCGTGATCACAAGGATTTCATTTTGCGACTAGCTAGTCTGATACCAATGTCAGATCGCTGCAGCGACCATTATGATCTTCCCAGTGCCAGCCGGCGCTTGTTGAGATATTAATGGATAATGTTTATCCATGATTGCTTGAAAGATTTGACTTTGTTCTTTATGTAACTGGATTGTTTCCTCAAGAAAGGCAATCGCAATATTTGCCTCTCCTTTTGGCTTCGCAGTAATTGTTTTTTTTTGAAATAATTTGCTTAAGCAATAGATTCGAACTATTCCCTATTTGTCAACTCAAATGACTATATTTCAACAGTCTTATAATTATTTTGTGGCTTGTGGAGTCTGTGCCTGGGAGAAATATAAATTTCGCATGGTGGTCATCACTAAAATATCAGGGGCTATGCTCTTGATACGACTTAGCTGTTCCTTGGGAAGCTGGCAGTGGATATCTAGGCCTAAATCGTCATTCAATACCGTTGTTTTAACATTGAGTTTAATTCCGCTTCATTGTCAACGGATATCCTAAGACGACAGTTCCATTCTAAGCATCGTTTAGGGAGTCCAGGCCCTCAGTCTTCTAGCTAAGATTTGCATTTCAAGATCACTCGTTACCGGTGAAATGCTCTGGATGCTGAAGGACGATGTTTGGTAGGCCGTTGATAAGAACATTTCTATCAGGCTATGTCTCGCGAAAGTAGCTGAAGTCAAAAGAACCTGTTTATATAATTTGATTCTTTGTTTGTTTGGGTTTCCCGTATTGCTAGGATTTGCTAATAACTCAATTACGTCGTAACGTATAGAATAAGCTTCCACGGCGTATGGCGTCTTTATATTTATCTCGTGTCCTTCAGGTTCCATTATCTTGTATTCTCGAAACAGGAAGTAGTTTTTGAATGAAAGTTCTTTCACGGGAAGCGTTATTATTTCAAGGTCCACTAATTGTTCTGACTGAGGTAGACGGCTGCGGAAGTGTTTTTTTTTTGGGCATCGTACAGATGTTGTTGAGTCTGCAGTCCGTCCATAACTATATCTGTGTAGGATCTCCATCCGGATTTGGTTCTGTGGTTTTGAACATATTGTACCATTCCTGTGGCCCAATGCTCTTTGGATCGGTAAGCCTCGTGTAACTTTTAGCATGCTTTTTAAACCACGCTTTTTTTTCTTTACCACTCCTTAGTATCCATTTATTTCCATCATTTCCTCCTGAAATTTTAAGTATGCCCAAACGGTGGTTGTGGCTAGCTCGACTTCTGATTCCTCCTCTATCTCGAGAGATATTTAGCCGGTCTACGGAGGTGGTCCTAAATTTTACTTTGCACTAGGCCAGTACCTTTCTAATCTTAGTATTAAAGTTTCTGGTTGCACTCTTGACTTCACTGGCTTTAGTCTAAGCTAAGGTCACAATGGTAAAGATACAGCGCATAATTGAAAGAACCGGAGATTAAAATGCAGAGCATTTCTGATTCCAAGTCAATACACTATTTAGAATTTCTTCTGTTAGCTCGAGGCTGCTTGTAAGGACTTTGTCATATCCGCTGTCATTGGGCCACATCTGTTGCTATATGCGTAGGTATTCGTAACTGTTACTTCCAGTCATTTCTGGTATTTCTCCATCTGTTACACATTCAGTTGATTCCCTGTTTCGGTAACATCTTATCGCGCACTTCTTTTCATTGAGCTTTACACCGATCGCTGGTAACACTTCTTTCAAAATCTGAATGAGCTGCTGTAGAGTCATTCGATCTTTGGCATACAGTTTCAAGTCATCGATGTAAAATTGGTGACTAGCATATTTTAAATCACCCCTTCTCTTTTTGCTAGTTTTCATTTGTTCATCCAAGCAGTAGCTGATCGGCGCCATTGATAAAAAAACAGGGTAGGTGAGAGGGTATCTTCTTGGAATATTCAATTTCGTATTAATACTGTCTTTGTAGTGATTTTACTCAGTTGAAAACTGGCTACCTGACACTCGTAAAAGCTACTATAAATACGGATGTGCTTCTGTGTCAAAAGCTTTGCTAAAATCCATCCAACATACATTTTTTGGTCTTCTGAGATATCAAGCTCTGCCAATCACATACTGATCCCTTAACATTGCATGCAGATATGCCGTCTCCGTGGCTTTCATAACTCTTTGTTTTTTTTTTTGGGATCAGCTGAAGTTGTTCTATTCGCTTGATACAGATGAGATTCATGACTCTTGTGAAAACCTTATACATTGTATTCAGGCATGTGATTGGCCTGTAGTTGGATGAGTTGTCCGTTTCATCGCTTTCGAAAAGAAGCACTGTTCTTACCCTTGCGCGCCATTGGTACGGTATATTTCTGCTTAAGATTTCCTTACATAAAATCTCTCGTAATCACTGAGGTGCCTCCGTTAGATATTTTCACCAATACATATGAATTTCATCTAAGCCAGTGGTTTTTCCAGGACTTCGCCTTTCTAAAAACCATTTTAAACATTTCTTGAACGTGCTCAGCTCTTAGTGACATTTCTGCGCTTTCCTCAGTCTTTCTTTGGATCCCGTTCTTCCATTTAATTAGATATTCATTGCTGGGCAGTTTCTTTTCATTCCTTTCATCCACAATAAGATCATTTCGAATTCTCTGCCTGTAACTTTCTTCCTGTCGAATATTCACCACGTCAGCCAGCAGTCTTTCTTTCATTGCGAGTTTATTTCCAACTCTGACTAGTACTTTGGTGCTGCGTCTCTTGCCCACGTACTCCTTGATGCCCCTTATCATAAACTGACGTTGGAACTAACGCCTTTTTTGAGGTCCAGCACTAGTCTAGTAGATTCGCTCATCTCTATATATCTATCAAACAACCAAGTGAACCCGGCCTCTTAACGTGGCCGACCATCCCAGTGACTTACGTCCCCACCCTCATTCCCACGAAGTGGTATGAGAACTTTGCTTGGATAATTATGAAGCTCCCGTTGGTCCTCTCATCCAAATCATCCGTTCGCTCAGTCTTTGTCGCTATAGGAAAACAGACCTTTACCTTAAATATAGCGATTAACATTATATTACAGCGATTTCCAAGTGAAACATGACATAACTTAATAAAATCATTAAGTTATATGTATTTACGAATTTCATGACATAACTTAACATAACATGGTATATAACTTGGGGACTGTGCCCCTATTCAAGAGTATGCCTCGTTTTCTGTGGAGCCAGTGCTCTCTTGAACTTCACCACCATAGTTCTTTTATGGGGCTTCTGCTCTCCTGAAGTTTTCCACCATTTTTATTTGGGAAAACGCTCCTCTTTTTAGTACTAATTAGTATGTTGTACTAAGATACAGTAGGTAGGGGAGTTTCATTACATAATAATACTAAATTACAACGATTTCCAATTTGTAATATAACTTGATTAAACTGATTAAGTTATACATTTGCAAAGTTTATCACCGTACAACAACAAAGACTTAGTATAAGTCAACAGAACATTACAAGAAACATCAATAAACCCTATATTTTGTTATATAACTAACAAAATACAACAACAAAGCAAAGTTTACCACAGATAAAAAATTCACTACAGAAGTTTACCACACAATGAATACCCGATATTACATATATACGTTACGAGTTAAGGTTATTGTATAACTAGATGAGTTGATAGTATTCTCCAAGTCCCTTGCGCCGCGCTTCGCTCCATTCTCTCAATTAAATTTCTCGTTTCTTTACAACACAGGTGCATTTTATTTTAAATTTCTACAAAGGTTCTGAGTAATTTGCCGCATGATCCGAATATAATGGGTAAAAGAGAAACATTGTAGCTGTACTGCTTTCTTACTTCAGATACTAAGTTTGATCCCGGTTCAGAATTTGTGAAGGTGGCACTTTCGTCGGCTGAGTGAATCTCACAACGATTAACTTTAATTATTTGTTGCTTCATTAATCTTCAAGCTCCTGTTACAGATACTTCGATGATGAGTATTTCTTTTCTTGAGTTATCGATAGCCATTATGTCTGGCTCGTTATGAGTAATGATTGCCGCAATGTATATTGGGATATCCCAATATAGAATGCCATATTCATTTCAACTTTGCTTGGGATCGAATTTGTATAATAGACGATTGGTAACTAAAATTTGCAACAGAACACGTAGCAGACATTACGGCATATCGAATTGTGGCAATCCATACACAGAGATTCCAACCAATACGAACAGTTATTTATAGTATCGTCAACAGTTTCAGCTGCTCAGCTGCATCCTTGGCACGTTTTATTGCCATCCTTATTCATTACCGATCCTTTACAGTATATGGCTGATTCTTGGCATTCGAGCACGTTTCTCACTACTTTAGATCCAACATATCTTTGGCGAAGCCATAGGAAAGAGTTCTCAAAATATAATTCCTCGTTATTACATATAGCTCCAGCGGTTTCCAACGATTTCCAACTTTTGAACTTAGTTTTATCCCACTCCTTTTCTAGAATATTCCGTGACATAGATCAAACATCCCGAATATCACTACAGGTTATAGACTCCTCGTTAACTCGTAATTGACGTCACCCAATTCGGTGTCCTGTAATACAGTTATCCATATTTTTCCATTATCTTTCTTCCATCTTGAATGAAACTTCTCTTCTTCCGTCTCTCTAGCATTTCACAATAATCCCTGATTTCTCGCATATCCATCCGGAGCTTGATACAGGCCCAAATGTTAATCATCGCCAGTTCCGCTTCTAATTCCAAGGCAGTCCAGCCATATCCACCCGAATTTTGTTGAAAATAAAGACGATTGATCGAGCTTGGTTTGAATCTTACTTTACATTTTGTTAGCGTATTCCCTGTCAATTTCTTTGCTGATGCAACGTTTAATGTCGTCTATCACTTTTAGATTTTGATTATTTTTTTGAAACCATTTGAATTCCTTGCGGGTCATCCCTTTTTTTCCACTTTGGCGGTTTCGCCTGTCGCGAATTTAGGTGCATTGCGTAAGGTTTACCTTCTTCTATTAGCTAGTTCACCAGCCTCCTAGGTTTCCTCGAAGATTGCCTCCGTTTTCAGCTTAGTGACTGGGTAGTCTGACACCTTTGTGACTTCGTTAGATCCACCAGAATATTTATCCCGCCACCATAGCCATCAAACAGAATCATTGTCACCTCTCCACCACGATGAGGTTAGAAGGTAGAGTTTTGAAGAGGGTGTCATGTCATCATTATGCTGACTAGACAAGTTACAAGACACAAGGCGTCCACAACCTGCAATTTTACAAACAAGTAGACATCGACTTTCGTTCCCTTTTGGCGGTAGGTGATCTGGATCGGCATATATTCCGAGTTGTGCTATACCGGTGAGTGGTCCGGCGATCAAAAAATCTATTGGCCGCAGGATAATTGGCAAAGCGTCATCGTAAGCGTGGATCAAAAATCTTGAGCTAACTACTACTGTCATTTCGCAAAGTTCTAAATTCTTACACACTTGAAATTCTTCTTCTCATCGTCTTCCCCAGCGTTGCCTTTACTACATCAATATGCCCCTCGTAATATCCACCTTGTCACGCAGCACGTTTCGCCATTACTTTGCAAATGAAATCCTCATTTGCAAGACAAAGGTAAATGTCTTTGTCTACTATTAGCTGATCTCAAAGTTGTAAAAGCATCTTATTAATTGCCTTAAACTCAATTGCATTATCATAATAAATAACCTTCGGTTGACCGCGCATTTTTACAAATTTTCTAAAGCAGTTTGAGAAATTTGATGTTGAAATCTCAAACACAAGTTCAAAATGTATATTTTGTGTAATAAGACATCTGAAGAAACACATGCAATGCTTTATAAAATTAGCATCGTAATCTGACCTGACGGGTACTACTTCAAGGTAATCTAAACTAGTGATTTTGAATAAAGTTCGCTTTTAATCTTTAAATACGAGTATTGAGGACGTTTTGGACGATGCAAAAGGTAAACCTTGGTATCTTACACGTCTTTGAGTGTCGCTCTTCCCTTGGTCACCCGCCATTGTCAGCAAATTTCAGATAAAGTAGCTGGTAAACCCATATGCATTATTCTTTTGTACGCTTCATCAATAGTCAATTTTGCTACTTAACCACTATGACTTATCAATTTTGAGGACTTAACTTCGCCTGGTATTTCTCAAATTTTCGTATCTTCTTTTGCATTTCGAAATGCCTCTGTTTAAGTACGGACCTGATTGGCTTTTTGGTTTATTCTGCGTTCCATTCAACATTGCTTTCATTTGTTCCTTGAACAAACGCTATTGTTCTGCTTGGAGAAGGAGATTTACACGCCTTAGTGTATTCATGTTCCTTTAACAGCTTTCTTTAAAGAAGTGTCGAAACAGTGTAAAAGGATAAAAAAGAAAGCTGAAAAAAAAATATTTCTAGCATATAATGATTACAAAAAAAAATTTTTTGATGAAATTGAAAGCAAAAAAATGTACTTAATATTTAGAGTCAAAGAAGTTGAAAACAGCAAATTTTTTTTTTTGGTTTTTAACTTTTAATTTAATCGAAAAGCAGACTTTACGTTTCTTATAAAGTTCCGGTAAGCTTTGCAATTACTTTTGTAGGCCATTTTCTTCTTCGTCGCCTTTCCAGTGTAAATGATGAGTCGATTGTAACGGCAGGTTAGCAATGGAAAATTTAAATTATGCAGATTTGTTGAAAAATTATTTATTTTACAATGGATAATTTAATCCTTGTTATTTGGTCAGTTAAAAATAAGCAGTGATTTGAGCATTTCCATTTTAACGATCACACACACATTTTCGACCTACTGCTTTTCCGATTATAGAAATAAGTTTATTTGTTTTATACGGTAACTGATGCAAATTCACCTTTTTATTTAGACGTCTAGGCACTCCATAATCCTACTAAATGATCACTGGTCGACACTGTTACTTCCTTGGTTGTACAGATTCAAAAAGTCGACAGTTAGTACCTGTTATACCTGTTTGTGTAGCTTTTTTCGTTAGTTGTAAATTTTTGAATACGGTGTTTTTCATCTATTTTTGTACAAAGCTTTTGAATTAAATTTTCTTCTTGTTAAAATCAATTATTTCCTCTCTGAATGTACAGTATTTAAAAGTTGTAGATAAAAATATCATATTTTTTGTTTCAGTATTCACCGAAAAAAGCGCACTCAAAACATATAAAGAAGGAGTACTACTAAAACAAGGTTCTTTAAAAAATTAGTGTTCTGAATAGGAATATAAATTAAAGCTTTTTTATGGTCATTTAAGCTGCAAAAGAAACACTCAGTTAAGTTTGACGGTTATGACAGTAAATAACTGTTTTTTTTTTCTGCAAACGCTGAGCACTCATTCAACAAATTTTTGAAGAATAGCGTTTTATTTTTCAGTAATTGTTTAAAGAAAATATGTAGGAGACATTAAAAATACGTATTTAAATTTTATTTTGCTGACTTTTGTTTTAAATAGTACTGAAAGAAAAATGAACAAGTGGTACAATTCTGTTTTTTATGATTGTAATGTTATTCAACTATTTTAAATTTTTATTGAGTATTATTAATAAACGGTTTTTTAGACATCATCTGTAATCCGACTACCGATAATCACTGCACCCCTGCTGAAGCAACAGTAAAACTTTTTCTCAACAGATTAATTTATTATTGGGATTTATGAATACATTTCTGAAGAATAAATGTCTACGTTGCAGAATATTTTCATACTGAATCTATTTATTTGGATGCAACGGTATAACACAACGTAAGAGTTTAATATATAAGGGTTTTAACACTCGATT